TTAGGACCCGGAGACTGCCAGATGACCCCGCTCGGAGAGCCGCACACCGAGCAGCAGTGACGCGACGCTCGGCGAGGTAAGTAAGAAGACGCGCTGGCGCTGACTCGAGTATAAGCCGAGGGGGGCACTTTTCACCCCAAAAAATGGGCTGAAAATCTCGGCTTATACTCGAGTATATACGGTAGTTCATTGTTGAAATAAGCTGACCAGTCTAGACCAGCCTCTCTCATCCAGAGTGCCTTGAAATATTGCAATGGTAGGACTGAGGACACTGATGTGAAGGGGACTTCTGATATAAAGAGGTGAATCAAGTCTAACGGGGCTCCTGTTGTGGGGGTGAGGGGCTTATGAAGGGGGGGGAGGCTTAGTGATGTGAAGAGGGGACTCTGACGTGAAATAGGGGCACTCTGTTGTGAAGGGGAGCTCCTGATTTGAAGGGAAGACTTTGATGTGGAGAGGGAATCCCCACTTTTTTTTTTTTTTAAGGTGTGTCCCTTAAAATCCATTACATTTTGGACTAGTGTGCCTCAAGATTTTGCATACTTTTAAAGGGTGCCATGACTGAAAAAGGTTGAGAAACGCTGGTCTAGTCAAGGCCGTAACACAATTGCTGTGATCTGGTTATTGTCATCTCTTGTTTTCTGTTATTTTAAACATAGGTTTGGTCATTATGTTTAGATATGATGCATTATGATCTACATAAAATGTATCAATGTTTTATAAATAATATTTAAAAATACTAACTCCTTATTTTTCTTTCTCTCTCTGCAGCTGATCTGAATAATGTCAGATTTTCAGCGTACAGAACTGCCATGAAGCTAAGAAGACTGCAGAAGGCCTTGTGCTGTAAGTGCCTCCACTGCCTGTTCTGCTATCTCAATATCGCTTCTCCTTCAGTCACTGCTTTTTCCCTCATGAACTGACTTACAAGTGTTTAACAGCTAGAGAAGAAAATTTGTAGTTTGTTGTGCTTCATAAATAAATTACCCAGAGCAATGCAGCAGCTGGTTAATGATCTTTAGATTCCTGATTATATTTCGGCTCTGTAATTGAACTTGGAGTTAACATTTGTGTGCTGAACTTTGTGTTACACCTAAACAATCAGATAACATTATCAGTTTAATGTGCCCCACTGTTTTGTCTCTGTCCCAGGAGAGACGCATTGCAAAGCCTTACAACTAGAAAACACTACTGGGTCTTATTTATATTGAGAAACTCAATTTTTCTATGGATTTTTGTAACTGCATAAAGCAGCCTGGGAAAAAAACCAAGTACACTTAAAATGACTGTCATTAAAATGTAGAAACTCAGCAACCACTAATGCGGTGGTTGATCAGTTTTGCTTGCTATTTTCTTCAGGATTTCCAAGGCAAAGGAGTGCAGTCAGCTATGCAGGTACAATGCAACCTCCCTCCAGGACTTGAGCTATCCTATGTCTTTGACATCAGGGCACAAAGGAAGCGCGTTCAAGCAGTTTCCAGTCAGGCTTTGCAATCAAAAAACGTAGTTGGCATTAAGGGGGCTGAGCGATGGCATGAGTTGCATGGTGTCGCTGGTAATTCCTGACAGCTACTAAAGCTGGCCATACACTAATAGATTTTAGTACGGACCTTTATCTAATTGCAAAACCTCATCAGAATATTAGATAATGCCATCCGATAGGTGACTAATTTTGTTCAAAATTGCATTTGATTTTAACTTTTGGTTGTAGAATGAATGGAGTTTTCCGAATGAAAAATACATTCACTGTTAGTTTTGTTTGCAAAACTTTCCATCCTGTTTCTTTTTTTTTTTCTCTTACCACTACGGTTGAAAACAGTCATCAATTTGACACCATTAACTATTAGAGAATTGAACAAATATTCTGAAAACAAATATTTGCTAATGTAATTCTACTGGTATATGGCCAGAAAATATGATGCTATACAGATGTCAAGGTACATGTGTTATATTGATTTTTAATTTTCTTAGGTGAACTTCCTCTTTATTATATACTATAATAACTTCTGTGGCTCATTTTACTAGTGGACTATATAAATAATATTTCCAAGGAGGTGTTGGTGATGGCAAAGTTCAATGTGTGATGAACGTGAATGCATGTAGTCAGCTTGTTTTTTTGTTTAACCTCCCTGGCGCTATTCCCGAGTGTGGCTAGGGGTTAATTTTCAGTACCAAGAGCGGTAATCCCGAGCCACATTCGGGATTGCGCAAAAGTATCACTTACCTTGTCCCTGCGAGTCCGCGGTGTCCTCTGCTGTGTTCGCCCGGCCGATGCCGGCATTCGGCTTTCAGTTTTGTTTTTGGGCGTCACAGCGGGGGGCGGAGCCAGCGGGAAATTCAAAAGTGCAAACATGACATTTACACAGAATACACACAATACAATAATTACATATTAGGGATGCACAGATACTTTTCGAGTACCAGTGCCGATACTTGGCATTTTCATGACAACTACCAGGGTTGCAGAGGTTGCAGCTGGGACCTGGCTTTGGCACTCCACCACTGTCCTGAAATCATTAGTCAACTGTCACATGACAAACAAAAATGTATCAGTACTCGTACTTGTAAGTACTCGGCAAGTACCAGTACTCGTACTCACAAAACTGGTATCTGTGCATCGCTTTATTTATATTCATAAAAACAAAATCATACATTAAAACAGAGATGTACAAATCCCAGGAGCTCCGTGTGCTCCTTACACATGACAGCTGCCTCCTAATTTTTTAATTTTTCTCTAGTGTAGTCTTGGAGCTCAAAAGTATCGGTACATGTACTCGTACTTGTACCGAGTACTGTACTTGGTATCTGTGCAACCCTATTACATATATTTATCAAACTATTTCACTTCAATTTTGTCCCTAGAGCTTTGTCCAGTGCCCTTCCTGCACTTTTACAGTACTCTATTGACTGTGGTACGGATCAGGCAGCGCCCCCAGAATTCCCATTTACTGGACCATTTTTTTATTATTTTTTATAATTATTTATTATATATTTTGGGCTATACTCGTCTTATATGACGAGTATAGCCCAAAACCTATATTTTAACACAAACTGTAGGGGGTCGTCTTATACGCCGATTCGTCTTTTACGCCGGCAAATACGGTACTAAGAATTACAGGCCTACAATATAAAACAACAAATTGCCATGAAAAACAATGTACTGCTTTGGCATGCTAAAATCCTGCATAATCATACCGCCAGGGAGGTTAAAGTATAGATGAAAGAAAATTGTAGTTTCAATTCAATGAGTGTAATCTGGATTTGTCTTAATATTGGACTCCTATATATGCCGTTCAGGCTCTGCTGTATGCACATGTAGTGACAGAAGGAGAAGGCAGACTGATGAGATGTCATGCTTGTCCATTCAGTAAGCTGGGGTTTTGTTTGGATTACGCTGTAGTTGGGATTAAGGTAGGGCTGGATAAACCCCTAGCAGCGAGTTGGCCAAAGTGCCTTCAAAGTTAGTGCTGGGGTCTAACTTTTGAGTTGGTTTTGTAGTTGTGCCTATGTCTAAAAAAGAATTCTGCTGGCTTCTGAATTGGGCAGACTGACTCCTGAATTTCATATTGATTTGTTTCCCTGGATTAAGGTCATACACAGTTACACTGACAGGGAGGGGTGCCTGGGTCGCAAGATTGGTTGCACAAAATTATAATTTCTTTGGTGGGAAACCGTTTTTACATATATATTTTTTTACTCTGTATTTAGAAGTTTGCAAAAAGATAAAATCTAGTAGGTGGAAAATGAATATCGGTACAACCTATATCTTTCTATCAGAATGCGGAATTTATTTTGTTCATGTCTACATTTTATTAAGATAAGGGGCATTCATACAGAAAATTATTTGTTAATGGTCGGATTTGCCGTGTGCTTAGCAGTTGTTTTTTGTTTTTTTGTAAACGTGAAGAAAAGTAGTGGGTGTACTTAGGAAATTTACTTAGCTTAGGAAATGTGAACTGTATATTTGAACAACCAATGTTTTCTTCTATGTAAGATTTGACATTGATATATTTTTCTGAATGTTTAGCCTCCATAAAGTTTTATTTTGTCTCCAGTACAGTTAATGTTTCTCGGCACATGGTCAGATGTGGGTATTTACAAGATGTGCATGTATGGTTTTTACTTAAAGAAATCTCTATCGTATAGAAATCAGGGACGGTTATGCATGGTGAATTCATTGTACATGTTTTTATGGATACAGGAGAAAAATTCAGTCAACTGTGTAGTACAGAAAGTTTATGTAAATTCATGAAGCCAGAGAGAATCAGTCCCTGTATATGTTTAATGCTGGCTTTATTTGTGTCAGTTGTTATGTGTGTGTCAGTGGAGGCCCTGGAAGTCAAGCCTTTAGTGCGGGCTTCGAGAGTCAGGCTTGTGTATTGTCATGGAAACCAGAGGATTCCTTGCAACTTGATTGCTGCTAAAAGCACGGCCATCAGCAACTCAGCATGCAGGGTGGACAAGCTGACTCTTAGGATTTTACAGCAAGCGAAGTCAAGGGTTCTCCCACCTTCCTATGTTTATTATTTTTACCATAGGCGTGTATATTTAGAGAGCGGGGAAAAATGAATTCATACACCAAGGTTGAATCCTAGTATGGTTTTTTTTTTTTTTGGGAGTGGCAAGTAAGTTTACTTCACTGTTTAGGAAATCTGTACTGAAATATACAGAGCTGTCATTGTTCTACGTCTAAAGTCAGGTATACACATTTTATTTTTTTTGTTCAACCTGCGGGCTGAACGAAAAGATAGAACAAATTCCTCCATCAATGTTTACGGGCATTGATGGACGAATCCCCTGCTGTTTGTTGTATTCTAACAGGGGCTCCCGGCTGCTGTCTTAATACTCCAACAGAGGTAGCAGCTGATTGGAAAATTTTCCAACTGAGGATGCAGGGTGGATTGGTGCCAAAAGGGGCACCCACTGTGTGAATTTCAGCCGGTTTATCAGAAACTGGCCGAAAATTGTCCCGTGTATACCTCACTTAAAGGAGAACTATGAGGTGAGTGGTTTTCACTCACCTCATGGTTCTAGCCGACCTGTGACAATGAAACATGCTAGTTTGCCTGTATCTCCAATTCTTCCTAAGTCCCAGAATAAGTCACAACTCATGATTTGCATGCTATCTCTAGGTCAGTGCCTCAGAAAAGAATTCGAGACACTGCCTCATTGTCCATTTAAGGCAAAGTGACACTGTCTGCAGATAGCCCACTTCCCGGACCTGTGTTCTTACCAACCAGACTCTTGTTACCTCGCCATTGCAGAATTCCCACCTGCCTAAGCTGTGTTGTCATTTGGTGTTGACAAACACTGGATGATGCCATTGTCCCTTCCCCCACTTGCTACAGTGCTCTGGCCTGGTGAGTGGCCACTCAGGGCAGGAGTATTGCCCCATAGGAGAGGTCCCATGCTCCCCCCATACCCCTGGAAGCACTGCCTATGGGCTTAGGTTATGAGATTGGGTCTCATTAAGCCATTTGGTCACATGCCAGCCATGCAATTGCAAAAGAGAGGTCCGTAATGGCAACCTTTTATATTCTCCCAGCACAAATTTCCTTTAACATAAACCTTTACATTCGCCAAGCAGGTAAAAAGTGCTACCCTCATATTACACTGCAAAATGTGCAGTCTAAGCAAACCAAACAGTGGTGTTACGAAATGGAAATGTCCACTCTTTGACAAAAGCTAGCTGCTGAGCCTCCATCTCAAACCAATTCTTTTGGCCTGTGAGGTATAGAGAGAGCAGTGGAACATGACTATCACAGGATGGCCTGAAGTGTCTTTGATGTTTGGGAAAATCATTGGGTCTCTGAAGACAGACTAGAGCAGAGTTCTACTAATTATGT